ATATTCATTTCTGAGCTCGGGCTCAGCTGCTCCCTCAATCAGACCCGTCTGCTAGCATGTGGATCTGTGCTCTTTCTTGTATTTTCTGCCCGTATATCACATGTATCAATATAATATAAGGCCAGCCCACAGACGCATTGATTGCAGCGACAGCCCGTACTGTTGGTGCGGAACAGCTTCTCCGCGCACGGATCAGCCTTTTTCCTATGCCGAGCTGGGCCGTCTCGGTTGCAGGGAGTCATTAACGCCTTCCCCATCCCAGCCTCTAATAATAATTACATATCCCACACACAAGTAGTACCAACAAAGGCGTGCCAGCAACACTACTTAGGGAGACGTCGGCTTCTCTCAGTACAAGAAACATTTTTTCAGAAACTGAACCACATATTTGTGCTGACGAACATGAACATATTTGTACCCATTCATGTAGGGTGTCCAACGTCTTGAAAAATGGAGGAACAAGCATGGAGCAATGCTCACTGAAACACACTAGAAAATCATCAGCAAACAAGAATACAGAATACAAACTTTACAATCGCAACTTAATTTTCAGCAATACCTACAGTCCTTGTGCACGTATTCCGGCGGTGACCTTTCATGCCACAGTTTTTGCATTTCCCCATCTCACGTGGTTTCTTGGGTGCATCCCCTCGTCCGCGACTGGTAGTTCGATTGTGGCCTTCCGTTGACAGGTGCAGAACCTCGTCCACTTGCTCAAACCCTCGTACGGTGCCTTCTCCCTACTATTCGTCGGCCTTTCAACCCCTCTTTGCTTATGTGGAGCTGCTAGACCTTCAAGGACATTCACACTAGCGGAGGGCCCAACACTGTCTTCATGGTCAGCACCACCGTTCGCAGCAAATGCAACCTCCCCATTTCCAGGCAATCTCCCGGTGGGCAAATTTGCCAAACGGTCCACAAAACTCAAACCATCCCTCTTCTCCGCGTGCCACTCAACAACAAAGCATCAAGACTAGCTAACATGTGCTTGAATGATTCTACACTCGCATCGCCATCCTGGCGACTTCCATAGCTTTCATGTATAGTGTTGAATGCCTGCAACCTTCGCTGAACACACAAATTTCTTATCCAAACAGAAGTTCGAGGCACAAAATGATATCGTCCATGGAAGTTACCCTTAACACGTGGCAGGATAACATCCTGGTGTGCTTGAATTGTTCACACACGCACCTAAACTCCGGCTGGTTCTCATTTGCTGTAACCTCGTACACAACTCTAGTCCATTTTTCCTCTTCGCTGCTTTGTTGTGCGTTGTGACATACTTCATCATCATCTCCACCTCCACGACATTGTATGCCATGCCTTCAATTAGTAGGTGTCTGAACTCTTCAAACATAGCCCTCTTGTAAATCATGCTTGTGTGTTGCTCAATTGCCAAATTCATTCTCCTAACAACTCCACCCTGTCAAAATAGAACTCAATTACAAAAGATGCAAACCAGATAAATACTCCCTCCAATTTTATAAACAAGGCTCTCGCTGCATTGTGTGCTCTTTTCCTAGTATTAGTACGTGCAGACCTATTGATAACTCTTTTCCTCGAATGTTTAAGGTGTCACCTTGCCTCGCCTTGGCGCTTAGGCGTCAGAGCGGCCCTCCTCTGCCTTATGACGCTTTACCGCCTTAAAAACAATAGTATCTTGGCGCAAAAAAAACGCCATGAAGTTTGGTTTTGCCCATTTACTTCTTACTTCATAGATCTGGGTCATGTACGGGTGCTTCATCAAGTTGTACTTATGAAGCAGCATATCCCATGCCGTCTCGAACTCATCTTTAACATATGGTTCACAACCTTATAGAATTCAGCTTGGAACTCGCTCTTCTACATGCACAGTACAGGGGGACCAAGCTCTCCTTTGCCCTTCAACAAATGCCATTTGCACCACCGGTGCACCGTGCACATTGTCCGGATAGAATTTGCTGATTGCCACCTCCATAGCTCTGTTCTGGCCTGCCATCGAACATACTAATCAGTTCTAGTTCATTTCTAATTAAGTTTCAAATTTTCAATGCATAATTTTTTCCCGTGTATGTAGGACGAGTGCTGGCCGTATTACACTTTTTGTAGGTTCCCCTGCGTACTTTTGAATCGACTGCTCCAGTGAACTCATCATAGAAGGACATGGTGTGTGGTCCGGTGGTGCACTGCTGAGGCTTAGCCTGAATTTTTCTCGCCTGAAAAGACGACTACTAATGCAGTTTTTGTCGGTCAGTCAGGTAAACCTAGTATTAGCTAGTACCTGAGACAGTGGTTCTGCTAACAAGTTGATGCACTGTTGTTTCCTACAATTTTTCAGAATACAACTATGTGGTTAAAAACATTGTTTCATGTACGAATGTCCAGCCACTTGAAACAAATACAGTTCAACAGAAGGTGAATTTTTGGTACGGACCTTTTTCTCCAACCAGGGCCTCCAGGTTGACCTGCCAGCTGATTGTGCCGACAGAGTCGGAGATGCATCCGGTCGTCGGCGAACCCCCATCTGTGCCCTCTCCGGGCCAGCGCAGCCGACCTGCTGGCCGCACCCAGACCCAACAGTACTCCTTCCGCAGAGGGAACCTGAAAATTGACAGCAATGGACGACGGCCAGACCCGGCGTCAGATTTCTTCTCCAGATCTGCCGGCTGACAGAACAAACACTTCAAGATCTCCAGCCATACAAGATGAACTAACATGTCGAGCAGGAACTCAAGCCCAGCATCTACCATTCCAAATACCGCCGGCGCAAATCGAGCGCCGCCGCAGGACCTACAGTATTCGAGATTGGGGAACGACAAGGAGGTTTGGGGGAGTGAGGGGTGGTTTGAGACAGACGGCCCAGACCCGCGGCTCACTTACGAAGCCGACGTTCTGGTCGACGGACCAGCGCGTCGGGCGTTCACCCCGTACGACCTTGGCCCACGTACGCACCACTGTTCCCTACCGTATATCCCCCCACGCCCCTTATTCCTTAACAGTGCGTTTGTTTGGGGGGAGTTGGAGGTGGGGAATGGGAGTTGGAGGCCCGTGGGACTTAACTTCCCTTGATTGGGTCAGGGACATGGGAGTTAAGAGAGGTAGGGGAAAGGGAATTCGGAGGCCCAACTCCCATCAGACTCTTCCCGGGGGGACCCTAGTAATTCAGCCAGGGAGTGGGAATTGACGTTAAAAAAAACGCGAGCTGTTCCTCACGTCCCGCGGTGGAAGGGGATAAAGGCGCGAAAATTCTAGAGAAAGCGCGGTAAAATCCTACCTGATTACCCCTATTTAGCAGCGGCGCCATTCTTCCTCTAAACAAATCTTCGACCCACTAATTTCTCCTCCTTCTGCAGAGATGGCGGCACACACAAACAGGAGCTAAGGTAGCCCCTTTTTTCATCTTTCCATGTTGAATTCGTGGATATTTTTCTGCCAATCCAACCTTGTTTCGTTCACATCTAGTTGTATCCCATCTGATTTTGCTAACAAAATTGGATTCGTTGCTTTTCCCTTCACAAACTGATGCAGATCTATTATTCTTTCTATTTTTTCTCCTGCTTCACAGGTCGCAGATTTGTCTCAGCACTTCGTTTCCCCTTTTCTATCAGGAGCAAGAGAAACCAAAAGGCTGCAGGTGGGAAGTAATCCTTCATTTTCTATCTCCTTTGTTCCCTTGTTTGATTCGTACGGGAAAGTGTAGAGAGGTCTCTGTCTTACATAGTAAGTGATGGCCTTTTTAGAAGCATAGGTGGGACATGGATGGGTATAATTAGTGGATGAAATCTCTTGTGCTTGTACAATTTTTTATGCTATTCTTCAGCTGCAGTTGTAGATCATCGCTGGCTTGCCGTTGTGGCTGCTACTTGCACATGTATATAACCAAGATTGTTCAGGATGTTTGCTTCATGCTCCTGTACTTTCTAAGTACAGTTTTAAATACACAATTAAGTGCCAGCTGACAACTGTAAGTGGCATATGCAGATGCATATTTTACTGAGCATATATGCATGTTTCATTGACACATATTTTATATACACATGAACACACAAACAAATCTTGATAGCTGATACAGATTAGATGTCTTTTAAGTCCCAGCTTATATGATTCTTGTAGCTTTTCCCTGTTCATGTCTTGTTTGATTAAGTGATACGGTACTCATTCTTTTACTTTATCTTCTACAGATCGCAAGCAAAGAACAAGAGGTACGGCTGAACTTATTCTTTTGTAACTGCAGAAATATGTTCAGATTTATCTGTCTGGCTCTCTCTTTGTCCTGCTTAGCATCTGAATTTTATCAGTAATACACTAGAAAATGAGTGTAAATAGTTTGTGGATAAATTCTAATACAAACGGATATGCTAGGCGAAATTAACACTATTGCTTGCGGCTGCTTGCTGTCGTGGTTGCGCACCTGATTGGTACTACACAGGTTCAGGACAAGGTTAAGCTTATGCGTATGCTTCCTTGCTTCCTGGTGCGCTATGTTTGAAATAATGTGAAATTCCTACAGCCTGCACTTTGAAAGATCTGCATCTTTATTGTCTATAAAACTGTTTATATTTCAGTCTAAAGAGTACATGTGAACTGAAAAAAGAGTAGTTTAATTCATGTTAATGCTGCACCTTATGGTCTTGTACATCAGTATAGTATAGCATTATGTAATAAGCATCCATTTGATTCATGTATTCGATTGCCTTATATAAAATACAGAATGGAGGGGGATTTGATCCATATCAAAATGCATCATGGGGGTACATTTTCAATGGAAGGACCACTTACTTATGATGGTGGCGAAGTCTCTATTTTTCGAGACTGTGACAGTGAGCGTACATCGTATTTTTGTCTAGTTCGCATGGCTAAAGACGTAGGTTTCAAGGATGGTGATGAGTTATATTATACAGTCCCTGGCTGTAGTCTTGACGAAGGAATTGATTTAATTCATGATGACAATTCTGTCATTAAGACGTTGAACTTTGCAAAGAAACACAACTTTGCAGACATCTATCTTAAACATAAAGACCATGAAAATATGTCTGCTGATCCAAGATCTGGTCTGCGCACTAATGAGAAACTTCCAGCTGAGGTACTTTACACGAAAACAAGTTACTTTTATCCATGCATTATTTTTCTTTACTGCTGATGCGTGACTTTCTGGTTGCTTGTTGCTTGGCTGTGTGTGATTGCTTATACATATGTGTGGCATTTAATCTATTGTACCTTATTTCTTATAGCTGATTGTGTGGCACTCTTATATAATTTTGTTCACAGACATGGCACGTCCACCAACAAACCGGGAAAACATAATCTTATGGCACACAATGAGGCAACGAAGAGTGAAAATACTCATACTTTTATATTTGTTGTTGCAAATCTTCATGATGTTACTTAGGAGGAGTCGATATAGGATGCGTCGAATTAGGCAACCTTCTTGGTATGACCCAATTACTCGAGCACAAACCCTGAACAACAAGATACGAGTAAGCGATACGGAATGCATTTTCCAGCTACGGATGGATAGGCGTTGTTTCAGAGTGTTATGTTCTTTGGTAAGAAAAATAGGTGGGTTGAAGGATACTAGGCATATGAGCGTGGAAGAAACGGTTGCCATGTTTCTTCACATACTTGCACATGATGAGAAAAACCGAGCAATCCATCATGATTTCCAGCGTTCACCTGAAGTGGTAAGTCGGAAATTCCATGAAGTACTAGGCGCAGTTTTAAAACTCTGGAAAGTGTTGCTTAAGAAGCCTCGACCAATTCCAGCCAATTGCGCTGATGGAAGGTGGAAGTGCTTTAAGGTATCACTTTAATATTTCAACATAAAAAAAACAATTTTAGGTCTAGTTTTGTTCATGGTCTAACACATATTGTTGTTCCTATAGAATTGTTTAGGTGCCTTAGATGGGACATATATAGAAGTTCATGTGCCCAAAACTGACAAACCAAGATTCCGTTGAAGAAAGAATGAAGTTGCAACAAATGTTCTTGGTGTATGTGCGCCAGACATGCAATTCATTTATGTATATCCGGGTTGGGAAGGATCTGCGGCTGATGGGAGGGTGCTTCGAGATGCTTTATCAAGATCAAATGGCCTTAAGGTTCCTCGGGGTAAGAGATTGTACAAAAGGGTCTATGTTAGTTAGATGCACATATTTTATACGTAGTTGACAAACCCATACATATGTTTCTATTGCGTAGGGTGCTATTATCTAGTTGATGCTGGGTACAAGAACTGTGAAGGGTTTCTTGCTCCATACAGAGGGCAACAGTATCATCTAAATGATTGGAAAAACCCACCAACAAAAAAAGAGGAATTGTTTAACATGCTGCATTCATCAGCAAGAAATGTGATTGAGAGGACTTTTGGATTGCTCAAGATGCGATGGGCTATCATTAGAAATCCCTCTTATTATCCTTTTGATACACAAGTTGATATAATTCTGGCATGCTGCTATTTTCACAATCTGATACGACAACAAATGCGGGTAGATCCCTGTGAACAATATCTAGATGAATACATGCTACGTCTTCAACAGCAGCAAGTAAATGAGGATGTCATTCTGTCCACCGAAACATCATCCGAGTGGACTGAGAAAAGAGACAAGTTAGCTGATGAAATGTGGAAAGCTTGGATAGCCAAAAGACAAGATCGTTGATACACGCTAGTACATTTTTAGTTGTAGGACATTAGATGTTTGTTCAGGAAAATATGGGTGTCGAAACATTCTACACTGATATTTGTTTTCTCCCATATGTCATAGTAGCTTATGTGTCATTTCATTCACTTTCTTGTAATGATAGGAGAGATTGATTAATGTATGAACATCATATTTCCTACATGAGCATTTATATTCTGTATTGTTTGTACACACACATTTCATTGTCATATTGAAACTATCAGAAAACCAAGTCAAAGGAGGCTAAATTGACATCGAAAAAGAGAGACAAGAGAACATGGACAGCGGAGGAGGAGAGGTTGCTTATTGACATTCTACATAACATGAATGATTCTTCTTGGAAAGTAGATACTGGCCACAAGTCTGGATATCTGACCTACATTGAGAAGGAAATGGCTAAAGTGCTGCCACATGCTGATCTTAAAGCAGATCCACATATCAGGTCTAAAGTTAAGATTTTGAAGAAGCAACTTTCATATGTTCTGGAAATTATGCAAAATGGTAGTGGGTTTGGATGGGATGATGAGAAGAAGATGGTAACTGGAGATAGGGAGACGTATATGGGCTGGGCAAAGGTACAATATGTAAATAAATCGTCTCTGTTTCATGTTATTTTCAACTAAAATTTAGTTTCTAATGGAAATTCATGCTCTTTTTTCTAGTCTCGTGAGGGAGCAGGTCCTTTGTACATGAAGCATATGGTTAACTTTGACAAGCTATGTGAGGTATATGCTACTGATTTAGCTAAAGGAGGGAGTGCTAAAGGTCCGGGTGAAGAAGAAATAGTAGAAGATGGATCAACAATAGATGCACAACCTACCAGCAAACCAGCCAAGGAGAATCTTCCTGAATTAAATGATACAAGCCCATCCGGTGGTTCTAGGCATGGTCGTAAGAGAACATACCCTGATGATGAAGCACTTGAGTCAGGTCTTGCAAGTGTGTCGAATACAATTGCAAAGTTCTTGGAAGCTGAGCAGGAGAATGCTAAAACCATGAATGGTTTACAGAGGGCATTTATGCATGAATCGCATGTTCATGAGCAAACATCAGCCAATAGAACCAAGTTACTTGATATTCTCCAGAATCTTAAGGGTCTCACAACCGAAGAGGTTGTAATGGCTATCCGTGTCATTGGTGGTGATGCTGGAAAGACAGAACTTTTCATCAATTTGCGTGATGATTACAAAGTGGTGTTTGTTCGTCAGGAGCTTGACGCGGCCAAAAAATAATTGAATATTCAGATCTACAATTCTGGATTCTTAGTTTCATTTTTTAGCTCAGGACTACTCGTTTTCTTTTAAACTCGTCAGTAAGAACATTTGGTGCTTCCCAATTTATTTTACATTGCCATTTCCTATACAGTGCACTAGTAGTACATTTATGGAAATATGCTGAATGATTGGTTCATGCTAGTGCTGTAAGAAAAGGATATTTTCATCTCTTTCATCAACCGATGTGGGTATTGCCGTGTCATGTGTTGCTCTCATTTCCTCCTACCTACAACAATGATCTTATGACATTGTATACTATATCTCGAATTGCTTACTAATTTTATTTTCATTTTTGCACTAAAATTACAGTAGTATATTATTTGGTAAATGCTGTCAGCTGGCTCAGGTAGGTCTTGAAATGTCGGAGGAGGATTGGCTTTTGGGTCAGCACCTGGATAATCGCAGCATGTGTACAGATAGTGTACATTTTTTCCTTAGTTTGCCCAGTTTTAGATTTAATTTCATTTGCTCATTTTGTGTTACTGAAATGGTGTTTGTATCTGTTTTTGCTCACTTTCTATACTGCCCATCATTTTTACTTGGCCTTGGTCGGTTCAGTTTCTGTAGCTACTAAACATATCATTAACAACTCCCATTCCAAGACCCCTGAACCAAACAGAGGAAGTTAATTTTCTGTCAAATTCCCACGAATAATTCCCACCCTACACCAAACGTGGGACTGGGACTAATAGTCCACTTCCCATGTCTAATCCCACAACCAATTCCCCCTTAATAATTCCCAGTCCCTTTCCCTCAAAGTACCAAACACGCTGTAAATCGCGTCAGACTTGCCAGAGCGATTTTACGGATCCCAAGCCAGGAACAGACGACGGCGATTTCGGGAGCATCTGGGCTCGGGCACCGAATCGCCGTGTCCTTAAATTTTGTTTTACTTAATGTTCCGGCAATTAAATTTAACCTGGGTGGTTTGTAAAAAAATTGTTGCTTGGGCCTGGCTGTAAATCAACCAAGATATGTAAAAGCTTGCGTGGTGTGGCGTGTGTGTGATTGATTAACCATGTAAAAACTGAGCTTGATTTGTGTGTGCTTGATGAAACAGGAAATGTTATACTGTCATGAGTGCTTTGTAAATATTATTTGCCATTGTACCAAAGAGTTCGAGTGGATAATAATTTTGTGGTGCTGCCATCATTAAACCCATTAAGGAGCGTTGGGCAACCAGCTACACCATGTGGCACGTGCTGGTTGGTCACGGCGAGAACGTTTTTTTATTTCTTTTTGAGTTTTTTTAAATGCAAGTGAGATTTTTTTTCTTTTCGATAAATTTTTTTCTAGGCTCTTTCTTTTTCTTTTAGAGATGGATGTGATGTCCATGTGGCACGATATTTTTTTTTTAATTTCAAGACGAAGGTAAGGTACACATAACTTTCTCTCAATGGCGGGCCCCAACCACTAGTAGTACAGAGTAGTACTGATATATTCTTCTTCGTGATGCTGGCTTCCTGTCATTTCGGCAGAACCATGTCTTTTTACTCTAGTAGGTTTCATTGAGACGATGAACTGTAAGTTAAGTCACTTCCCAACACCAAGTTGAGTCTTATTCTCTTTCCTGTTGAAGATTGTTTGGATTCTGAAGAAGAAGTAGTTTGGAAACCAGCACATTCAGCTTGGTTTATCATATATTCTCCTAGGGCCTCCTCTTTTAGTCTGAATTTTCTGCAAAAAAAAGGAAGAATCATTCAGTGGAAGATTGTTCAGATTTGCTTCAGCACCTTTCTTTTGGCAGGCTGTATGTCAGTCAGTTCCCAAAAAGATGTTTCGTATTTGGCTTCTGCGCCTTGCTGAAAAGGTTGTTTGGTCTACATGCTAGAGGCAGAAGATTGTTCGTTTCTGCACTTCCTTCGGTTGCTCAAACTCTCAAGAAAGCAAATAGTTCAGCAGTGAGTAAATACCCTCTCCAAACTACTACCTAAATACCATTATATACACCATTGCATCGTGTCACACTCACAACTCACAACCGTGCAAGTTGAGACCACAAAATTAAACCGATGATGATACAGCAAATTCCCACAGAATTAAACCGATTCTCTCTTAGCTTCAGGATATATCTGTATACAATTAGCTCAATGTTATAATTAATCCATGGTTTAATATGATAACCCAAATACATCATGACAGAACTCAAATCATCTGTTATTTCCATTACCTATCCTGATAAAAGCTGAACACTGTATCAGCCTGGACGAGGTCACACGTCCTAGGATACGTCGAGAAAGCCTCGCAGCAGCCGTTGTACGTTCCGATGAAGCCCCGCTTGTGGATAACACCGATGGTGTCAGGAGCAACGTCCGCAGCCGCAGGCACCACATTCATCACCCAGAGCAGTTACAGACAACCTTACATCAGGTACGATGAACTAATACTGAACTTCACGTAGGGCACACCATCCAGAATGGCTCAAATGTTCATTTATTTTCTTTTCCAAAGAATGAGAGATTCATGCTAGTATTATTTTAAGTATGACCGTAGCACGGGGGCCTCCACCGGCAGGCATGAATGGGCTGTCATGAAAGGGTCAAGTTGCAGTATTTACCTCCCAAAGCTCAAGGCACAAATCTGGGTAGGGGATGCACACTCTTTCTCTTTGTTGGGCAATTTGGATTTAGAAACTTCCACATTCCTGCCCTTTATTCAGTCCCACTAATCTGTTTTACCCCTAATTTTTGGCGTTTCTCAGTTTTGACCATTTTCCCGTTAAATCATCTCCGTCATGCTAAGCGCTTGGCAGCAGCCTGTGTAGCTTTATGTGTGTTTTGTACATCTGCAGAAAATTAATCTAGCTTTTAGTTGCTGTCATATATTTTGGTTATGCCAGCAAATCAAAGTGTTTGAATAATCTATGTACATCATTGCCGTGTGAGAGGTGCAACACAGCCATCCACAGATCGGTATGCACATTGCTCCAACACCAATGACTTTACCGCTAGCTGGAGCTGGCCGTAACTCTCATCTCATGTATACTGTCCGTCACGCACGCATGGAAGGTTCTGCAGACTCCCATACGGTCTAGACTTGCATGGTCAAGGTTAATCAATTATTCTATTCTTTGACATGTATTCCGATAACATATGGACAAAGGTGCCGTGGTTGTGTTCACGACTTCACGGTCGTTGTGCACAAAAAAACATCGTGCCGCTCTATCATTCTGCTTCATTGAGACACTTACGTAATTTTAGACACTCCATTGCATATGATCTGCCTAATAAAGTAGCTAGAGTACTTAGTAAAATTACCAATTACCAAGTGGTAAGCCCATCTATGAAATCAATAAACTATGAAAAAATTGGGTTACTTCTCCACTGCACAGGCGCACAGCTTGCACAGGTCGTGCTTCTCCGGGAGCAGAAAATCGGGAAGGCTTGCATATATCCGCATGATACATACTGACCTACTGCAAAATCTTTTACAAACATTATTTTAATCTTGAATAATTCGTAGTCTTGTTCAACCGCATCATATACTTGACCAAGGGTCGGCTTTTACAAACTAGTAAAACAGCACACTCCTTTCATTTTTGTATACAAGGCCACTATGAAAAACACATTTTGCATCCATAAACAGTAATCGAGACAAATATTAATGATCTTTTCTCGTACTAGTAGCCCATGGCTTAATTACTAGCATGCATGTAGTGGATGATAATGACACACTCACCTACTTCCTTTCTCATGGCCATTCAATTTCCTCTAATGTGTATGCACCCTATTAATTAACCCGGTAAACGAGAAAACAAATTGGCTTGTAAAGCATACATTAATTTTATCTTGGTACCTGTAATTTGAGTTTGTGGCCTTGTATATAAAAATGAACGGGGTATATTATGAGACGGGGAGAGTAATATTGTAGTCTTGGATGCTTCAAAGTCCACATTACAATTTTTAGTTTCCACTCTCTGGGTTAATCAACAAGAGCGACACCACTCGTTCTGCTCCCTGGTTTGGTCTACGTATCCATCGAATGTTTGGAAGCTAGTACAACATTTCTGTGCCGTGTGAGACAGGCAACTCAGCCATCCTCAAATCAGTATGCATATGCCTCCAACATTGCTGTGCTGGAGCTGACTCTTATCAAGCATGGCAGATTCTGCCGACTTCCATGGCCAAGGTTGTTCTCTTCATTGAGCCACGTGCACCAGCTCCTCCTTCACCATGTAGTCATAGCTGCACACGCTTCAATAACCTTTGAAAAATCTGATTCAACGATTATTTGGCCTTCAAACAAGGGAGGAAGGAGTTGAAAGATCAGTAGCGTTAATGTGATTGGGTTCAGAATGCATTCCAAAACAGCCCTCCACTATCAGTGCAAAGCAAAAGTGGAAGCAAAAAAGAGAAGGAAAAAGAAAGTAAAGCAAAGTAAGCTAGCAGTGCGCGCACTGTTAAAAGGAACCACCCTCCACTATCACTCATCCTACTCATCCCTCACTCTCTCCACGCTCTTCAACTCTTCTAGTCCAGTACAAGTTCTGCGACTGCTCCATTGCTTAGCAGCAGCCATGTCTAGCAGCTCCATCTAGGTTAGAGAGAAATTGCATGTGATTGGCAGGCGGCTGGACCAGGCGGATTCCAAAGACGGACATAACTCAACTTGTGATCTTCTGGGCGAATTCAGGCCAAGCCAATCCGGTTAGTACTACTACCATGTTCATTGTTAAACCAAACTAGTAGGAAATCTACATGCCCATCTTTAATTTATTTGGACTTGGATTCTTCAGTTTAACCTGATTTTTCAACTCTTCATTCATGCTCTAATAACGGTTGTCGCGTCAATATGCCAAAGAGATTGAATTGTGTCGCATGCTAAAATTCTATGAATTTTGGAGAAAACATATTGTAGAAATACTCTTTAAAAAGGAGAAATTTTACCGATTTGCAAAACTATTAACTCTTGACTCTTGTCAGATAGTGAGGGCAGAGCAGGAGCAGGCATGTGTTGAA